TTTCAAGTGAAAAAATTTGAAAGACAAAATTTAATTGTATCAGTGAATAATGCTGTAAATAGACTATCTTTAGTGCAATAGGTCTTACTTTTATTGCAAGCTAGTTAATTATGAGGGACACCTTTTTCCATATATGGAATGATAGCTCAGATGGCATGATTTGCTAGTTGCAGGGTTGAATTACCATGTAGTCAGAGAAAGTGTATGCCTTGGACCGTCTAAAGGAAAATCAAGAACTGGTGAGTACTGGTGCTGGTGGTATGTAATCCCAACTACTTGGGTGGCTGAGACAGGGCAATTTTGAGATGCAGTCTCAAAATAAAAATAAAAACAGGGCTGATATAGCTATATAGTTCAGAGGTGGAGTGCTTTGGGTTCAATTCCCAGTACCCCTCCCAAAATTAAGTAAAGGAAACCAAAATATTAGATTGTTTTTGGAAAAATATCAAGTTTTGATATTTCAGAAAAGTTTTAGAAGCATTTGCCCAGGAAAACATCAGAAAGTTCTTAAACTGAAGTGCACTTATTTTGTAACAACATTTATTTTATTTTTAAGAACATGTAAGTAGAGAGATGCTCAGGACATATAGCAGGTAGCTTTTTAGTTCATATCACAGTACAACAAAGTTTGGGTTTTCACCTAGACAAATGCTTCTATGCTTTCCTGAAATATCAAGAAGCCCAGACATTTTGCAAAATATTTTGTGTCTTTTTTTTTGCAGATATTTTACATATGTATTTAGTCTGTTTGGCAATTCAATATGGTCAAAAAGCAAACTGTGGTACCTGAACTATTCAAATAAAAATGAGCCAAATAATGTAGTTTTACAATATTTTAAATTTTATAAAACAAATAAGCAATTTGTTGTACCTTCTTATATGGTAGATTTGGGCCTGGAAGACTTGAAATCTAGCTCCCTGTTTGACCATGAACCAAACACAAATTTGGACAAATATAACCTCAGTGAATCTGTTTCCATTTATGTAAAATAATTATGATGATAAAAACTCAAGTGATCTGATCTGTTGAGTGTATAAAACAAAAAATAAAAAAGGGAAGTATACTTATGAACTATTAGTGATTATATTAAAATAAGATGTATGATAGTACTAATTATAACTATATTGTTTTCATCATTATCTATTTTAATGTGTATCTTATATCCGCCAAGGAAATTTTATGTTGCTGGCATATACAAGTTATGCTAATCATATAAGAGTTCTACTAATAGTTATTAGCAAATTCATTAATTCATCATGTTTGTAAGCATGTTTTCACCTGAAGAAAAATAGTGGGATATATAAAGGAGGAATTTATCTAAATTCTCAAAGTTACACCGGAGTTTAACCTAGTTTATTTATTTCAATGAAAGCTGATTATTGAGTTACTTATGTTGAAATTTCCATGATCAATCTGTTTTTCTTCTAAGCCTCTACAACAAGAAACAAAACATTAACCTTTTCATGAATCAATTAGAAATACAGAAAAGAGTTTTTAGTCTCCAAATATTTTTTAAGACACTCTAAATCAGTTTTACCCTCCACGTAGTTTTTAAGGAAACTGAGAGTGTGAACATAAAATTAAAATATGACCTGAGGTCACTTGAAAAATTAGGAAATAACTACTACCAAGTAAAGAATTAAAGTATGTGCGTTTTAACTAAAACAAGTTTTACTAAGGGTTTTCATGGCTGTCAAAATATTGAACTGTAATAGTCCAACAAGAATGGCATTTTCAAGACAGTGTTTGGGTAAAAGGTAATTAGTACCTTCTACTCAAACAACACATTTAAATAGCATATTTTAAAAATCATTTTGTATGTATTCTTCATTAGATATATTTTTTTCAACTTGGTAGCTCTTGAATTACTTTGTATCTAGGCTCTACTAAGTAACATAATACATTTTTCATTATACAATACATTAACCACACAACAGGAAGTAATTTTTTTTTTTTTTTTTTTTTTTAACTGGGGGTTGAATCCTGGGGTGCTTTACCATTAAGCTACATACCCAGTTCTTTTTATTTTTTATTTTGAGACTGGGTCTTGTTGAGTTGCTGAGACTGTCCTTGCACTTGTGATCCTCCTGCCTCGGCCTCTGGAGTCATTGGGATTACAGGTGTTCACCACCTTGCCTGCTGAGGGAAAACTTTTAGTGTAGGTATTTGGCATTGCATTTCATTAAGCTGCTGAGAAAGAAGGGCTCTAATGAACAGATTAATCCCTGCATACTGGCAGAATTACATAAAAATTTCTCTAAGCAGATGATCAATTGATTTTTTTTTTAAATATCCAGACTTCGTAATTTAGAAGCCAATTACAAAATGGAGTCTAGCTATTGTAGATCTAGAAGTACCTGGTAGTAAACAACTCACATTCTTAAAAGGATGATTAACTCTAGAAAAAGCCAGAGGAATTCTTGAGAAGTATACTAGTCCATCCCAGATAAATGCATATGTAGGTCACACTTTTGGAGGTTTCAATGAGAGAAGAATGCACCACCTTATCTGATTATCCACGTAACTATTCTCACTTACTAAGAGGAACTTCTACATTTCATATTTTTAATTTTCATTCTTCTTAATGAAGTTGAAGCCCATTGAACATATTTTACATTCCCCAAAATAGCAATATACAACCCCTATGTAAAACATCAGCTTATTTGAAACAAATAATTGTTATCAAACAAAAAACTGATATCTCAGTTTTTTCTTCTTCAAATGAAAGAATTCTAGTGTCTGTATCCTTCCTCAGACACAGGGCCTGGCAATAGAGCTGAAACAGACTACTTACAGTGAGTACTAAGCCTAAGGCGGACGGTGATGTGCCTCTGTTCAAACTGTACCAACTTTGTCCATAAAACCACATCCAAATGGAAACTCAACACAAAGGAAATAACAACAAAGCCCTATGCTATCTGCTTTCATTGTATGAAACAGGGCCAATTGCTACATATCTTTTTTTTTTTTTTTTTTTAGTTTATTGTAGATATGTCAGAAATTTTAATTTTGGGCAGTCAAAGTTATCATTAAAATATTCAGGACACAAAGTGTTATAAAAAATTGATATGACATATAAGCCCAGTACCTCCTTTCTTGCCCTACTTTATATAGTTGTTACAATTAGGCACATAATAGCATGAGTTTACAGAGTTGTGAATCTATATAACATATGACATACTATGAGCAGGTTAAATTAACTCACTAAGGATGTGTCCCATATATAAACCAAATAGAAAAATTATTCTCAGAAAAATTAAACAATAAATCTGACACATGTAAAAATTATAAATGAGGGGGAAGTGTTAAAATAAAATGAAAGATGAAGGCAAAAAAAATTATGTGGTTTTATATCGCAAAAAAATGTTTTTAAGATATCCAGAGTAATATTGTTGGAGAAGAGACAGATGACTGAAATCAGTATATATGATGAATGTGATATTATAATATACTTTTACCTGCAAGGATTTTTCTGGCTTTAGTTCAATGAAATCCATTATCCTAGGTGGTAATGGAGCCCTGTATGCTACTCATATCAGGCATCTTTAGTCTTCCTGAACTGCCTTAAAACCTTGACATAATAAAAGGTCAAGCAGATCCTAGTAAGCATTTATAAACTACACCCCCCTCCTATTTCAGCACATAGTAGCATGAGCCTTTCTCCAGCTAAGCTTTGCTCACTCTCTTTCATTTCATTGTATAAGCTGGCTGATTTGGAAATAGCTATCCCAGTGTTCTTGGGAATACTTAAATTTCCAAAAGCAATCCTACTTTCCTACTTAATTACTTACAGAAGCAGACCTGTAACACAATATTTGGGAGAACTATAAAATGGAGCCTGGATACTGAAGGAATGAACAGCAAATAGCAGCACTATTAAATAAAATGAATGCATTTCACCTTCCAGCTCAGCTGTGCTTCATGTTCACGGGACATAAGGTACACACATACAAAGACTGGGGTGGAATTTTGAGAAAACTGATTTGTTCCAACATTCATTTGGCAAGATGCTGGACGCAAAAATAATACCACAAGCCACCTCCCTTTCCCCTCATTGTAAATCCAGGGCCCTCAATATCACTCCCAACAAACCCAATTAAAAATAAAGAAAAGAACCACTCTATGAATTCACATCTAGTTGTGTAATGCAGATCAAATGATAGGCATCTGTCTTAATTGGTCACAATGAAACTAAGGGACAATAACAAGAATAAATCTCACATTAATCCAAAGGAAGCCAATGAATAATAATACAAACCAGAAACATAGTTTCAAAAAAATGCAATTACTTCCAAGCATGCAGGGCCATTCAAAACCCATAAAAATGATAGTAAAGCAAGCATCCTCCACATATAAATATGCTTTATAAATGCAATATAAATGCTAAGTAATGTGTATGTCTGATATGAATAACCATAAGGTGCATGTCTGTATGTTCACAATCAAATCTATGTACTAAAAATGAAGCTCCGGATCCATCAAATTGTTTCTCAACAAGAGTCCTTTAGAGTATGAAATAGAAGGCTAAATTCTGGGGCCACCTTAGCAATGAAGAAAATAAACAAAACCACCTGATAATTAGGCGGAGAAGGTTGAGACACCAAATGGGGCTTTGAGGAAGGCCCAAACCCTACATATAAGAGCTGCAAATGAAAACGATTCTTTTCAACATCACCCTTTTCCTGTTGTTAGCGGTTTTTCCACCCCCTGATTTTGTTGCTAAGCTTGGGAGGGAAGGAATCAAGTGGCTCAGTCTGTATTCTGAGCCAATTTGTGATAAAAATCGCAACACTTTTTTTTTTCTTCTAACACAAGCGGATGCCTTCTCACTCCTCTCCCTGGTAACCTTCCTCTCTCTCTCTCCCCTCATCTGTCTCCACATCTCCCCCTCCTAGGCTGAGAGACGGGAGTCATTGTTCAAATCCAGGCCACAAATGTATACACAAGTCATTTAATAACCAGCTGAACCAAGAAGGTAGCCCCTAGGTCTCCTACTCACCATACTGAGACTCGGAGACGCTGTAGAAAGGAGGGAGAGATGCAAACTGAATCCATTTTCCTTGTGACCGAGTCGGATGCAGCCTCCGAACCCAACATCAGCAGCGGCTGCTGGGATTTTTTTTTCCTCCTCCTCTCTGGTTGGCGATGTGGCGAACAGGAACCACCCTTCCAGCCCCACTAGAATGTCAGCAGAGGCAGGCGGCAGCGACAGCAGCGCAGCATCACCGCTCAGGCCTCCTCCCTCTTGGAGGATGGGGTGAGCTCAGAAGCAGCCAGGAACTTGCAGCAGACACCTCCACTGGCTCCTCCTCTCCCTCCCCCACCCCGACGGCCCCACCCCTGCTGCGGTAGAGGCGGCCGACCCGGCAGCTGCTGGTTGTCATGGCAATGACCAATGGTAAGCGCCGGGTAAGGGGGAGGGGTGAGGGGCGCAGCAAGCTGCAGGGGCTGCAGGGGAGTGAAGTTGAGCTGTTGCCCTCTGAGATGCTCTTGGGTCTCCCCTACCCTGCACTCCAGGTCTTCGGAAGATATGGGGCAAGCGAGAAAAGGCACGGGAAGACAATAATTAAAATTTAATGAAAATCTAGCTGTTTTTGCATTTTCTACTTTTCCGATAAAATGGATTAAATCTGCGATCAGAAAAAAAAAAATGGAGAAAATTATGTCGTGTGATAGCAGATATAGCAGATTCTTACTCCAAATTTGTTCATACTTAATAGCATCCCACCCACCCACCCACCCACAATGCCATTCAAGGTTGTTCAAAAGCAAAGCAAATGACTGGACTTTTTAATAAACCAAGTCTGTTTGATTCCTTTGCACGACTCCAGGCTAGGTCTCAGGTTTTGCTGTTTTACCAGCGCTCCCCACTCCCCATATACACCCATGAAGAGGACCTGTTGGTATTGGAACTACCCTAAGGAAAAGGAAGTTGGAATAGAGGAATCTGAATTTCCTTTGAACAACCCAGGTTCTCAGCAGCACTAGTTGGTGGACAGTTCCAAACCCTTTTAGTGTCAAACTCCTGGAGTGTTCCATTTCCTGCAAGCAATCCCATGCTATTTTCATGGATGCCTGTTTGGAGTTCCAAAGCCAGCTGGCAGTTAGGGTGGGAGGTAGGAAAAATGCAAGTGAAATCAGCAGTGTTGAGTACTAAGCATGCTGTTTTTCTAAGTATAAATTATAGATGATGCTAGTGTTTATCTTTTGCAGTAGTTGTAAAGATTGATTGAGATAATGCACTAAAAGCAGTTGGCATGTAGTAAGTGTACAATAAATATTTACTATCATTACTATTAGTAGTATAGTAGTGCGTGGTAGTCACCACTTAATATAAGGCTTTTGAGTGAAGAGCATGGCAATTTCAGGTAGGAGAAAAAATTAAGTTGAGAAAAGACTAAATATGTGATAGTTCTGATGGTGATGAAGATGGCCAAGATATCAAGACCCCAAGAGATGTTCTCTAAAACTTGACAGTTAAAAATGTTTTAAGTATTGGAGGGCTTAGATAATTTTCTCAACTCTAAATGACGAATAAATGGCAGAACCGTAATCAAAACCAGCTCTTTTAACACTACCATCTCTCTCATAATCACTACACTTGTCTGCCGTTTCTGCTCGGAATAAAGATATTCCTTATTCTTGATAACTCATGGAGTTATTTACAGGTTCAAATGGAATTAATACAGATTCCAGAGTCGGTCATTTCTGGTGCCAGTGTTTACTACTGGCATGTATTAGGACAAATTAATGAACTTCTATAAACCTATGTTTCTTTATCTGTATAGTAATCATAGATCCTCATGGATCGTTGTGTGAATTAAATGGGAAGATGTATGTAAAGCACAATGTCTAGTGTACAGTAGGTGATCCACAAATATTGGCTGTAATTATTTGTCACTTATAAGTAATGAATATAAAAGTATGAAAAGACTTATTCTGACAAAAGTGACTTAAGGTGACCCGGTGGTGAGAAAAGGGTTGCAACTCCTCCCCAGCGCTTGATACCTCCTGTGTCCTCTTGGAGGGGAAGCCTGTATCCTGCTTTGTGTAGCTCATGGCCTCTGCCTTCTCCCAAAGCCTCAATACACACACACTGCCTACATGCACCACCAATCACCATAACATTCTTTTATGTTACACTTTTATGTGTAACATAAAAGAATGGTTTGTGCCAGGCATGGTGACGCATGCCTATAATCCCAGCGGCTCAGGGGGCTGAGGCAGGAGGATTGCAAGTTCAAAGCCAGACTCAGCAACTTAGCAAGGCCTTAAGCAACTCAGTGAGACCCTGTCTTTAAGTAAAATATTACAAAAGGACTGGGGATGTAGCTCAATGGTTAAGCATCCCTGGGCTTAATCCCCAGTACCAAAAATAAATAATGGGTTGCAATCAACTTGCTTCTTTTTGTCTGCTCTACTTTTCAACTTCTTCTTTCTCCCCGGAGGCGGTCTTGTAGGCAAGCAGAGGGGGAAACAGAGGACTGTGTATCTCAGACAAGCTGAGGTGACAGGACCCTCCCCATTGGCTGGTGATAGGGCATCTCACCTTTAGTGCCAAGTGCTAACACAGAGTAAGTGATTCTGGTCTTCCTCCGCCTCCTATCAACTTAAACACAGATGCTTTGAAGGCAACTGGGAAGGAAAAGTTTGGTGGTCCCTATTTGAACAGTTCTCCAACTTAATCACCCAAATACTATTCTCCCTTTCTTTTTTTTGCCATATTCATGCAGACAATTATGATTTGATAATAGTTTTCTTTAAATATTAACTTTAATTATGTGAGAATTAGTTTATTTGTTATGTATTCACATTTAAATGGGATTTATCTGACTTCAGCAGAACACAAATAAAACTGGAAAGTTATAAAACCAAAAAATTAAATAAACCAATCAATAAATAGGCTAAGGATCTGAACAGACACTTCACAGAAGAAGAAATACAATCAATCAACAAATATATGAAAAAACATTCAACATCTCTAGCCATTAGAAAAATGCAAATCAAAACTACACTGAGATTTTATCTCACTCCAGTCAGAATGGCAATTATCAAGAACACAAACAAAAATAAATGTTGGCAAGGATGTGGGGAAAAAGTCCCACCACATTACTGGTGGGACTGCAAATTCATGCAACCACTATGGAAAGCAGTATAGAGATTCCTCAGAAAACTTGGAATGAAACCACCATTTGACCCAACTATCCCACTCCTTGGCATATACCCAAAGGACTTAAAATCAGCACACTACAATGATGCAGCCACATCAGTGTTTACAGCAGCTCAATTCACAATAGCTAAACTGTGGAACCAACCTACATGCCATTCAATAGAAGAATGAATAAAGAAATTGTGATATATGTATACACAATGGAATATTACTCAGCCTTAAAAAGTCCAATTATGGCATTTGCTGGTAAATGGATGAAACTGGAGAATATTATGCTAAGCGAAATAAGCCCAATCCCAAATAGCCAAAGGCTGAATGATTTCTCTGATATGTGAATGCTAATTCACAATAAGGGAATGGAGAATAGAGGCACTTCAGATTAGACAGAGAGGAGTGAAGGGAGGGGACAGGGTTTGGGGGTTGGAATGATAGTAGAATGAATTGGACTTTATTACTATATATGCATATATGATTACACAACCTGTGTAACTCTACATCATGTACAATCAGAAGAATGAGAAGTCATACTCCATTTATGTATGATATGTAAAAATGCATTCTACTGAATGTGTAACTAATTAGAATAAATTAAAAATTGGAAAGTTAAATAGATGATCCCCAGAGAATAAAACTGAAAGCCATTACCTATGTATGTATTTATTTTTTGTGAAACAGAAAGTTCAACTTTATTTATAATAATTTTAAATTAAAAAATTTTGAAATTTTACTCCTCTCTATTATCATCTCCTCTCTTACAATGCTTTATTTTTCCATGTGATCTCCTTCTGTAAGTAGTATTAATAATATAATATTATAGTACACTATAATCTATAGTTATATAATACAGTTAACATACTTTAACATACTTTTTACTATAATGTATAAAGTACCATATAATATTAATAATATAGCAGATCACTTATTTTTTAAAAATTTTTTTGTGTGATTTCTTTCTCCCAACTAGAATGTAAGCTATACAAGGGCAGACATTTATGTTTGTGCATTATTTGTGATCAGTGCCTAAGCCATATTAGTTCTTAGCAAATATTTGTTGCTGAATAAACCAATAAATGAATGCAATAACAACTTCCTGTACTGAATCAAGGCTAGATATATTATTATAATATTATGTATTTCTGATATTTCTCATAGTTAATAACTAAGACAATTATACTAATTATTTTATTTAGCTTGCATGTGTATTAGCATAATATCAATCTCTCACAATTTATAAATAGCTATTCAAAGTCTTTACACAGGTACACTCAGAATTCTCTAGCACATCCCCAGTGGTGTGTGTGGTGCTGATTTCGTTCTAACAGTTTCTTATCCAATAGTAAAAATGGGAACCAGGTTGTCTACCTCTCCAGGGACCTTTCCAACTTAGACTTCTGAATTGAGAGAAGTCTTAAAAAATACAGGGTGTGGTACTTGGCTCCAAGCAGCACTAAAATTTCAGGAGATACCACAGCATTGTGGGAGGAAGCTGCAAAGCATGGGCTGGGGAGACAGATTGCCTGGATTTGGTTCAGGCTTTACCATCTGTTTCCCGTGTGACCTTTCATAGGCAAATAACTTAATTTCTCTGTGCCTCAGTTTCTTCATCAGCAACATGGTGGCAATACCTACCCTATTTGGTTGTCTGATTTTGAACATCAAAGTTTGTATGCATATAGTATTAAGGAGTACTTGCAATGTGATAAATGATAAATAATATTAGATAATATTATTATGAAAATAATTTTAGTAACTACAATTATACATAATACCTTTTCTCTAGGTGAATCCAAAACACTCAGATCAGTTGGGGTCATTCTACAAAGCTGCTGTCATGACTGCAGACTGGCTGGCAGCTGACCCTGAGGACATCTGGAGATGTTTCGATCATAGACCAGCCCTCTGATGTCCCCCAACAAGAGGCAAAACAGTGAGGAGTTCAGAAGTGACTATTGTTGATCTCCTGTCTAGTCTATAAGAGATTTATTAACATACTGTTTACAGACAACATTGAATGTGACCAATCAGTATCTGCTTGCACTTACTAAGAATAGGGATAGGATTATGACTTCACTGCATGTCCTTTATTAATCGAATCAGTAAGCAAGTGCATTAGAATAACTCTCCCTTGAACTCCACATCTCTACCACTTCTGGGTGA